GATCTGATTTGTGCCTCGTAAAGATGTCTTTCAAGCTCTGGCTGAGAGGCCGATGCTGAGACTGAACATCTGAGACCTCTCTTTTATGAGAGAGCAAGAGCTCAATCACTTCTGGAAAGTAGCAACGTGTTGCTAGTTCGAGAGGGTTCAACTTCCAGTGGCTATCGTCAACGTCGGCGCCTGCGTTGAGGAGTAGTTGAATCGTCGACAGGGATCGCATTTGGATGGCCCAATGGAGCGGCGTTCCTTGTAGATAGAGGTCTTCCACCCAGGCGCCACCAACTTGGGTCAGCTCGGCACCTCTATGGAGGAGCAACCCAGCAACCTCGGGTTTATTTTGGTCAGAGACATTCCACAGGTAGTGAAGGCCATTTACGCCACGGTTGTCCGTTACACTTGCGTCGACGCCAAGACACAAGAGCATCTTCACCACAGGTGTCCACCCGTTAGCGCAGGCTGCCACAAGTGGTGTCTCTCCAAGCATGTTTTGTGTCTCTGCTTCTGGTTTGTGTGCAATGTCTATACCCTTCAGCTTCTCCAGGTTGGCCGTTAAGAGGGTTGTCATTTCCCACCAACTTTCTCGGTTCTCCTCGGCTTGGGTGGATAGATACCGCCCAATCGACTGTGGCCGAGTGATCTTAGGCATTTCCTGAAGGAGGGTGCAAAGGTAGATCTCTTCAGGTAGAGTACGGAGAGTTTCTGCCGCTTTCACAATTCCTTCCCACTCGCTGTATGTTTGTAAACCCTGCCCTTCTCCCTGCCAGCTCTCAGGTTTGGGTTCGGCCTCATTCGTAGCCAGGAACAGTTTGGCCCTAGACCGGAGAAGTTCGCCATCGGAATCAGTCCAAGACTCTTGCAGTCGGATCAACATCAAGGTGGTAAATCTGTCGCCCCGGACCGCAGCGGCATTAAAACAATTCAGCATTTGGGAAGCACAACGATCGACTCCGAAGCCGTCTGCATAGCATCGTGCGAGATCCAGTAATCTGCTCTTAGCCTGAACCAATGGAAGAGGTTTCTCTGTATCGCGCTTTATCTCATGGAAGATCCGTGACTGAATATGCCAGGGCATGTTGAAGTCTCGGTTCTGGAATTGTCAGCTGAATGCTTAAGCTGAGAGAAGGCCGAACTACCATTTCAAATGAGCTTGTCAATCTCCGTAAAGACTTAGAATCTGTCAAACGTTGGATCGCCGGGCTAAGAATTCGTTGGTCTTCCGTAGTCTGCCGCTATTTTGAGGACTCACCTTATGTGTTCATCCATGATATCGATTATGTTTTCAATCGAACCTCTCAAGTGCGACTTGCTTTGGAGAGTTTGTCTTAGCAGTTTCTGAAACAAAGGTTTTGGCTCGTCAGAGAAGCGTTCAATAACCTTGAGCCCTTCCTGGAGCAAGAAATCGTCTTCAGCCTCGTCGATGAATTGTAGTTTGGCTTCGTCATCGGTAGGTTGATTGTTCATCCACGCTGGTTGGAAGTATCTCCCTTTGTTGACTGATGCCCAGACAACTAAGCCATAAGAGAAGATATCGCATTTCTTCAGGTCCTCCATCGACAGCCACGGTGTTTGTCGTCGAACCTCTGGGGCGTTCCACAGCTGGGTGCCTTGATACTGCCCACCACCATTCTCAAGATCGAAAAGGGAGAGACCAAAATCGGATAACTTTGCGGTCACTAAATCATCGACATTGCCTTCGAATTTTACGGCGCCCAAGTCGAAGAAGGTCCTGTCCAATTGATTTTTCCTCTTCTCCTCGGAGAGGCAAACGAGAATATTCTCTGGTTTGACGTCCTAACACTGGCTTAGTAGAGTATTAATTTGAAGGAATTGTATGGGAGTGGATGGCCTTACCCCGTGGACTATGTCGCTCGCATGTAGCGCTTGTAGACCGGTAGCGATGTCCCTGCAGATTGCCAATGCACCCATCCAATAGCTGTCGAGGGTGTACGCGTCCACTGCAAACGGAAAAAACCTGGAGAGGTATTGAGGAAGAGTTCCGTATTCCGCTCTTTCCTGTATCAGTATGGGGGAAGCGATTGTATCTTCCCAACCGTACCCGAGGAGCTGGATGACGTTGCGGTGATTCCTAAGGGGACTGTGACAAAGGACATGAAGTTCTCTCAACACAGCTTCCAAGTCTTGTTGATACTCGGCGTCTGCCTCTCCGCTCCGTCTGACTCTTTTGATCACAACGTCCGGAGACTGACTCGGTGAGGGAGCCAGTACATCTCTCGAGTTCCAACCCGAAGCCACTGTAGCTTGAGACCCTGCCCCAATACCTCCGGAGAGCAGCTGCTTCAAAGATTGACCATCCCAGAAAGGCACTATGGCTTGCTTAAGAAGCCGCTTAACGGTGAGTAGCCCTTCAACATGAATATTTGTCTTGTCGAAGACAAAAGATCTTGGGGACTGCGTTGAAAAACTTTCTGAGACATTTTGCACACGGCGAACGTTTGGTATCCACGATCCAAGATCCGGTACGGCCATATAGGCGTTGGTGGAGGAATTTGAGAGGGACAAATTATTGTCGCAAAGCTACAAACCTGAACCAGAGCCATTATGGGTTTCCCTTGGGACGCGGTCATATAAAATCGAATGATCGTTAAATCGGTGGTGCCGAGACACAACTGAATGGCGACCCGCGCTTGCAGCGAATGGATGGCCGTGGAGCTGGTCAATCAGCTGACGGTGGTTCGACTTCTGAGTCCTCCGGCGTGGTAACTTGCTTCGAGCGACGAGATCGAATCTTTGTATTCGTACTTGGTATGGTACTGGTTGGATAAAGCCGCGTGGTTTTGCGCCTTGAATTGCAATCGCCATATACGCAGATTACATACCAATTAGAGGTGCAAGTAGATGCGATGGAGCCAGTAAGTCTTGCGGTCGCATGCGCTGGTGCATTCCAGCAGCTGTTCGAGATCGCATTAGCGGTAAAGAAAGCAATCGACGCAGCCAAAGACTTTGGTGACGAGGCGATCAAGCTTCAAGATGCACTAGGAGCGCACAGAGCTCGAGCAACAGCCTTGCAGGGCCTGCTTTTCGACCCTTTTGGCGATACAGCATCGGGGCAAGAGAATGCCAGCACTGGATCAAAGCTTTTTGATGAAATCCCTGAGTATGTCCAATTAGCCATTGTTGACTGTCTCCGCCAATGCGATCGTGCGGAAGCCGTACGGTACCCGAGTCTCGAAAGGTACCGTAGGGCAGGCATGGAAGCAAAGGCGGGAATGAAGCTACTCGATCATCTGAACAAATCCCCAGAAGAAATCATGCAACGCAAGGCACGAACAGCAACATTGGCAAAGTGGGCAATCAAAGATCGCAAAAAGGCGAGAAAGATGGTTGAAGAATATGGGGGCTGGATCAGCATGGCATTTCAACTGGTCAGAGACTACCTCTTGATCGTTGAAACCAATGACCGCCGACTTACTGCGCTGGAGAAAAGTCGACCTGCGGCAGCACTTGGTCTAGCCCAGGATGCTCGGCTTCGTCGCATTACAGCATATGAAGCCGTGCCACCCGATGTCAGAATCATCCAACTAGAGCTGGACATGCGTGATTTGGATATAGGAGAACAGGAGGCACCAGGGGTGGAGGCGGCCGAGGAGCTTACATCATCCTTGCAGAAGCTATCAGTTCAAGGCCAGTTGATGCTGGTCGAGTATCACGAATATACCGTGGATATATCTGCTACCGCCACGAGCAGCGTTTCGCCTCTTGTTCGCGAGCAGGTTGGACAGTTGGCAGCTCTTATGCAGAGTCCGAAACCGGCTGAATTTTTGGCTCTTCAATCAACTGGCCTGCTACATCAACCGGCCTTGAACCGCTTTGCCTTTTTCTATGAGATACCTGGAAATCCTAGCTTTCTCCAGATGGAGAATCTCGAGCAGATGGTGCAGAAACATCAAGTACTCAAACCATCTCTCACGCAACGGGTCTGGCTTGCGCGGCAGTTGGCTGGGGCACTTGCAAATTTCCATACGGTTGGCTGGATTCACAAAAGCCTTCGAAGCGCGAATGTCGTTTTCTTTCGTCAGTCGTGGCCGGAACACGCTCCATTTCCGGACGATGGGTTCAGGAACTTACGAATCTGCGGCTTCGAATACTCTCGTCCTTCTCAACCTGGCGTCGGTTCATTACGGTACGCAGACTCAAGTATAGCGAGAAATGTCTACCGACATCCAGAGCGATGGGGCAAGCCGGCCAAATATTTCATGCCTCAACACGATTTCTATGCGCTAGGGGTGATATTGCTTGAAATCGGCTTATGGGAATCCGTGTTCTCTCTCCAATCTCATCGCTTCAAGAACTGGAGAGAAAATCCGGAACTAGTCCGCCAAAGAATTCTCGAGCATACCCGGACAAGGCTGGCCGCTGCAGCGGGGGACGAGTACGCGAAAGTGGTTCTGCTCTGTCTCACGGTCAAATCACCGTGGGAAGATGACTCGGGGGTTGAGATCCAAGCATGGTTCCAAACTAATGTTGTTGAACCATTGGAAGGCGTCGCTTGCTAGTTTCTGCTGTAGAGAGTTAATGTAAAAGCACCCGATACGATGGAGTGTAGATTTCAAATGCTACCATGATCAATAGATAGATTTATTTCCGCAAAGTCATGCGTCTCTCACAGGCGTTGCGATGCAAAATTCAAACTATGGTGCGTATAGGTTAGTTTGCTTCTTCTCCAGGGACTCTTTGTCGGCCCCCGAGTCGCAGTGCTAAGACATATAATGTCGTGAAAGAAGAGCCAAATATTTGAAGATCACGCTTTCAGGCTGAACCCAATAACGATGATGAACATGAAGAGAAGACAAATTGCTTTGGCCTGGCTCTCCTACGATGCGACGACGCGATAGGCATTTGCGGCAAAACTTCGGTCTCTGGGTCGTGGAGTCGAGGAGTGTAGACGCAGCTCCATAACCAACAAAGTTTCCCGCAATTCCATTTAACTGGCATCATGACGACTTCGCAGGGACACGCGTTGCTTGAGAATTGAGCACATCATGAGAAGAGCCCCCGGGGCCTCCTCTGGCTCCCGAATCGAGACCTTTCTCGACAAGTTCTTCTTCTGCCCATCATGTACAACCTGGCGAAGGACCAAGCCTCTGCGATCGACAGCTCCCTCCAGCTCCAGCAGCGGCAGCAGAGATAGCAGCCGTCGGTATGCCTCCACTTCCGCTCCAACCCTGACCTCCACCACCGCCATAAACGCGCAAAAGATCGTCCCTCCGCAGTACAAACCCCTTTATAATTCCCTTCTCAATGTCCAGAGAAAGGCTTCAGCGCAGGTGAATCTCAGCCGACTACAACTTGCTCTTCAAGGGCTCGAGTCCGAAACTCCAGTGACCAGAGTGGCTATTTTGGGATTGAATGTACAAGACACCGCAAGCAGGGTGGTCAGGTTATTACTTGCGGACGCGCTGGAAGACGAAGGGAGATGGGAGAGGGAATTGCTCAAAAGTGCTGGCAGCGGGGACTTCAATCGAGGCGTCTTGATACGTTATGGACAGTCGCCGAATCCAAATCTCCCTCAACCGAAGACAAGCATTCCAGTACTGTACGTGCCATCAGACGTACTCGAGAGGAACAATGTGGAAATACTGGTATCGAGTGTCAGCGGGCCCCGAAACGGTGAGCTATTACGAGGGGCGCACACAGTGACCTCAGATGCATTCCTATCACCTTCGATTGGGACCCCGACCGCTGCGACTGGAAGACAGACAACCATCAGCCAGCCAGTGCATAGCTGTCTGCTGGTCACCAAGGGACTGGATGGACTCATGCTAGCCGCAGAGTTGTTGGCGTCTACCAATTTTACTGCTCGGGAAGATCGGGAATCTGTTAGCTTGGTCCTCGACTTGAAAGGCATCCAGGAGAAGGCACCGGGACAGGTCTTGGTCGTGGATGTCGCGCAAGCAGAAGAGGGTCTGGCGGCAATCCGAAGATCCATAGGAGAAGCAACCGAGTACGAACACAAATGGGTCGACTCGGGCATGCCGACATTATCGAGCTGGTTCACATTGACCTCAGCTGCCAGGTCCGAGGGACCCATTCCGGCACCTGTGAAGGCCCTGATTTCCTCTTTACTGACAACTGCAAAGACTAACCTGCAAATTCAAGCTTCATTAGAAGCTCGATCGAATGCAGCTCGAAGTTTGAGCCCCGCCACACGAGCGAATCTGGAGGAGGCCATTGAAGGCTTCTCTCGCAATGCCCACCAAGAGCTCCAATCAGGACTCGCATCAGCTTGGGGCTCCCACAACTGGCGCAAGTTGGCCTGGTACAAGCTTTTCTGGCGTGTGGATGATGTTGGTTTGATTATTACGGACCTTATCACAAACGCCTGGCTTCCGCGTACTGAGCGTGCGGTCTATGAACTATCCGGTCGGCTATCACAGGCGGGCATCTCGCCAATGGATGCTTTGCCTTCACTGCCACAGGACGGACAACTCACGATGTCCGAGACAAAAACAGATCATCTCACAGAACCCACGCCCGTTCTGCAGGCACAAGCTACCATTGCTACTGAGCCTCCTATGCGCGCAACCTTGGTCAACCCCACGGGGACCGCCGAGGTCAAGATAACCCCTGTCCCTCAGCCCATACCTTTATCTTCTTCCATATCCAGTACTCGTTCTGCGCAGATGGAGCTTGCGATCGCAGATTTCACCAGTACAGCCCAGCAAATTGTGCTCAAGACCCTTTCAATTACAGGTCTCTCCGCAGGTCTCTCGGCGCTGACCTACCTGTCCATCACACCAGGCAGCATGTACGAAGCTGGCACAATAGCAGCTTTAGGTGCAGCCTACGCACTGTGGCGCATGCAGGGAGACTGGTTCAAGGCTACAAAGGCATTGGAACACAGCCTATACGACGAGGGCAGGGCTGTTATCCAGAGGATTGTGGGCAGGATGGAGGAGCTGGTTGACAATGCTAGTCGAGTTGCGGAGGATGAGGTCGAACTGCAAAGTCGACGCCAGGCCGAGGATGCTGTGACGAAAGCCAAAGAGGAATTAGATCGACTTCAGTAATGATCGATCAGATTCCGACCGGCAAGTTGTAAATCCCATGAAGTCTGAAAATTGTAATCAAGAGTTTGTTGACCCACGAGTCAAGTTATCTCGATCGCATCGTCGGGAACGCCACGTCTGCTTCTCAACCTTCGTGCCCAGAACTGCATCATCGGGAGGACCTCGCCGCCGTCCTTGGGCATAGAGTCATCTGCTTTCTTCCATTGATGATACGCGACGAATTCGTAGGCTGACTTGATGCGGCTTAGTGGGCTGGAGCCCACTGCTGCAAGCGGTGATTTTGAGCCTGATAGGATCAGGACCGGTGTTTTGTTCTGGGACTTCGTGCCCGCGAGAGGTGCAGTCAGCGGCAAAGCTCCCCCGACTGATATGACGCCTCCCAGAGCGGATCGGGATGATATTATCGATGGGTGTAAGGGGACTGTCAGAGCGACTGAACCGCCCTGTCCGAAGCCAAAGAGGTGGATGTGGTCAGGTCGGTACTTGAACTTTTCAATCAGGACTTTCAATATCACCTCCTCGGCAACGAGGTCCACTGCCTTGGTCAGAGGAGAGTCCAAGTCAAGTCCACCCGTGGCGGTGTCGACGCGAAGGTCCTCGGACCACTGGTCCCCTGGCCCAAGAGGGAAAGGCAGCGGAAAAGGCGGGTTGAGAGTGATGGTCAAAGCGTCGGGGAGGTTCAGCGCGCGAGGGAAGGATGAGAAGTTGGCTGCTGTGTCACCTAAGCCTGGAAGAAAGACGATCACGTTCGTTGGCTTATAGTCTGGTGGCAGATGGACGATTGGTTTGAGGGTCGGAGGGAAGTTGCTGGCAGTTGGAGAGGCCCCAGAGGGCTGGTGAGGCATTGTGGCGCAGCAATCGAGGATTGTTTGAGCCAAAAACAAGGCTTCAGAGACTGCAAATGGGGGGTTTTCAAGTCCTCCGTACTTTGAACCTCTGTATCGTCATTGATCCTGCAACCCTTCTATCTTTGGTGATGGGTGGATAGAGCAGGGGCACCAGGGGAAGTTTGATATTGAACGGATTGACGTGGGCGGTTGCCCCTCGGATCCAGCTCGCCAGGAACGCGAAGTCAAGCAAGAAGCAAGGAGCAGGCGTTGCAGGGTACCTTGGCGAAGTGGGCTTGCTGGGTAAGCTTTAACTTTCAACTTGGCTCCTGCGTCAAGCAACATTTGCCTCATTCTTGGCTCTTGGCTCCCGGCTCCCATGCTGGCTGATCCCTGCACCGTCCCACCCCTCATTGAAGTCGTGAAGCAGCCCGCATCCTTCCGCAATTCGCCATAACGTTCCAGGAAAGCTGAGCTGGTTACATGTGAAACCCAGAACTGGACTGAGTCCGTCTAATAGTATGTAGTATGATGTTTGAACCGAAAAAAAGTTGGTGAAAGAACTGCCATGCGAAGCGACAAGACCCTGAACAGGCGGGAGCAAGCGAGCTGAACAGATGTGGGGTGGTCCTAGGTGGTGGACCTGCATTGGCCCCAGCATCATTGATGCAAAACCCTGATCAATGATGGAAGGGATAAAAGACATGGTGATGCACAGCCACTGTTAGCCAGCTGAATTCTTGTTTTTTGTTTTTCCCATCTTAGAGAGCTAGATTGACCTGAGACGGTGGTCAAGGGTCCATTAGGAGTATTGAGTACCCAGTACTTTGGGATGTGCTCACCCTGTTGACGCAATGCTTGTAGAAAGTGAAACCGAACAAACGTCAAGCTGAATGGCTGGCGACTGCTGTGACGAGGTGGAGTCGTAGCTGCGCAATCCCAATGGCAAGCTGCCAACGAGAAGATGGCAATGGATCGAGGGGCAAGTCACTTGCGTGTCTGGTGTCCGGTGTCTGGTGTCTAGTGTCTAGTGTCTGGCTGTTTGGCAAGATTTCACTCGGGCCCTTGAAGCGGTGACTGACATTCATCCTGGTTGCCTATATATTCCCCCCAATCCTCTGCTTTGTCCATTTCAAACCCATCATACTCAAACCCTCGAAGCCCATCTGACCCTTTTCGATTAACCGAAACAACTCCGAACATATCTGAAACCTGCTTCGATCAAGATGTTTGGTTGGGGTAAGTTAACTTGGCCGTCTACCTCTTCGATACCCCTCCATGCTGACTGCGCTACTCCAGACGAAAGCCGCGACGCTCACCAGCAAGTCTGTAAGTATCCTCGGACGCCTGGACGGGTGATGGCAATGAGCAACATAACTCTCCGATACTAACGACAACCTAGACCAAGGGGACGAGGACCACCAGGCCAAATTCTCCCATGAACTCATTGGTGGCGCAGCCGCCTTCGAGGGCATGAAACTCTACGAGGACCGACAACGCAGGGAAGGTATGTAAATACTTCTTTCCAGGAACCAGAGGCGTGATTGAGCTAACGATGAACAGGCAAGACAGTCAATCACGGCTTTGCCAAAGAACTCCTTGCCGGCTTTGTTGGAGCCGAAGTCGACAAACTTGCCGAGACCAAGGGCTTGGATGAATATGACAAGATTAGGGCCAGAGAGCATGCTAAGAGAAGCGCCGAGAACATGTACGACCAACATTATGGGGACATGGATCAGTATGACCCAAATCAACGTGACCAGCCAAACTTCAACTACTGAAGTAGCCACACTACCGATGAGGGCCGAATTTGGCTGCGGTGAACAAGTATGATGGGACCTTGACACAAGAGAGTCAAGAGAATATTACCAAAGCCTTGTCCTGATGTGCCACGGGTAGATTATGCTGACAGGCATTGGAATCGAATGAAAGTAAATGAATCTACCAACCAAGAACCATCCTGTTCACCGGGTATCCAATGCTGTTGCGTGAATCATCAGAAGGGATCGCGCCAGATCCTTCCATCACAGTTCGTCATCCTCACTTGCGGTCTCCTCGTCGTCGTCCTGTGCCGTCGTTGCAGCCTGGCGCTTTTCTTTGTTTTGTTCATTACCTTGCGTCTGGCCCTGCCCTCGATCCTGGACTGAGTCCGTATCTCGTATACTTGGATGATTCGAATATACTGCGGGTCCATTGAAGCTGTCCTCATCCGTGTCATCGTCACGCTCTGAAGGTGTTGGGGGCGAGTCACCAGATGTGGGAGAATCAGGCTCGCTCTCAGCATTAGTGACAGGTTCTGCACCTCGAGTCTCGAAACTATCACTTTCCTCATCTTGCTCCCGATCGGTGTCGTCAGCTGGTCTTTTGTTCCGGCGCGGCACACTAACTGGTTCACTTCCAATGACGGTTTGCAACTCTTTCAGCTTATTCTTATCAGTCTTCGCAGTGGACAGGATCCGTTGCATGTTCCTGATTTTTAGCTTCTTTTCGTTGAGGAGCAGAGCGAATTTGGAAAGCATCTGCTTCTCATGCTCGGCTTTGGCGTCCACTAGCTCGTCAATCTGTTGCTGTAGACCTTTGATCACCTCATCTTTTGTCTTGACCTGCTCTTTCAGACCTGTTACCTCTGTTTGCAACTCGTCTCGCTTCTCGGCTGCCTGCGATGCCCACCCAAAAAGGTCAACATCGTCAGTGTCTTCCGTTTGAGGCAAGTCGATAGTCCCAAGGCGCTGTGTGATCTCTTCGACGCGATTGTTGATCGCGATGGACAGGGTGCTTTTAGGATCCTTGCCAGATATTGAGCACGTCGCCTCGAGGTTGTTCTTCCGCTGGATACTGATTGAGACGTCCGATTTCGTGTCGAGAATGGAGGCGATGATGTTGGCCCAGTCCTCGTCAGTTCCGTCATAGTTCCTCGCTCGTAATTTCTTGAGGCTGCGTTGTCTGACTGCACGGGTTTCAGCGCAGGAGCAACACCAGGTGCAAATTGGTGCCTTACCTTTCCCTGCGTAGGCTGCTTCGCCGTCAGTCGCAAGAAGGTCAAGGTCGAGATCATGACCGCCTTCCTTTTGTGCCACTTTGATCAAAATCGGGCCACTGCCTTTGTCGGCCTGGACGAGCCGAATAACCCACGTCGACGCCATGACCGTATGCAAGTTAGCCGCACCATTACCGACTACTTGACAATCAGCGCAGAACCATGCAAGGCTGCGGATCCCAGACCAGAGAGTACTGTAGCACCCCGGAGAGCATAGGCCAATTGCCTTCGTGTTGAGCAGTGAGAAGTGAGCAGTGACCACCCAGCGACCCAGTGACCCAGCGGCCAGACCAAGAAGGGATTCACGTACTAACACCAGTCGAGTGGGGCAAAGCACGGAACGCGTCGAGCGAGATTGTGATTGGCCCAAGTCGTGTTCCCGCCTTCGAATTTCGCACGTTTTCTGGCTCGCTGGCTCCTGCGCTGCTGCTGCCGAAACTCCACCGTTTCCCATTCACCACGCAGCCAGAATCCTCCGACAACCAACCTTCCAGCCTCCCAAAACGAGACCGCAGCCCGACCTCGAAAAAAGACCTCAACTTGCATATCTCGAATCTCGTCACTCTCCTTTGACCATTCAAGGTCGCTCGCCAAACGACTGCCCCCCGATCGGTGGTGTATTGCCTCGACGGGGAGCAAGAAACACGCTTCAAAGCTCGATAATCACACTATCGAACAACTTTTCCTCACGCCGTTACGAATCCTCACGAGTTCCACGATTCCCCCTGTTTTTTATGTTTTTACTGGGGTCAGCTATTCTCTCTGTATTTTTGCGACCTTAATATTTCCTCCTGAACGATTTTCGCGCCGTCCAAGAACAAATCGAGAACCATGGAAGCACTTACGCTGAAGCAACGCACTCCGGTCGAGAGCCCAGACGTTGAAAACTGGGACGATGATGACTTTGAAAATCTGGAGGATGTCCACTTCCGGACCGCTTCAACCGCCACATCTGTCATCTCCCATCCCCAGGCACACCGTCGAGATTCGGTCTCGTCGCGCATGTCAATGCGATCCGAATCGAACCAGGGAGACGAAAATTGGGATGTACTAGTCGATGAACAAGCCTCAATCAAGGATGCTATAGCTCTTGCGAAGAGCAAAGGAATACCTTTACCAACCAATATACCGCGTTCTGCACTGGAGGGGGGCACGATACGGCGGCTGAAAGGCAAAGAGATTAAAAAGGCAATTGCGGACGACTGGTCGGAAGATCTGGACTTACCTGGCACTGACACTCCTCTCAAGCTCGCCAAACACGATGACCGTGATTTGTCGGAGAGTCTGCGACAGATCAGTGCAGCGTTCCGAACGTCACCCAAAACCCCGGAAGCGAAAGACGTGTTCGATCAAACCATTCGATCACCTAAATCCCGCTCGGCAGCAGTGCCTATTACCCTGGATGCATTTCGTGATACGGATGAGGATGCAGGTTTTGCGGATGTGCCGACCATAAAGGTCGCAAAGCACAGGTCTCCCCAGAAGCCTCTCCTCTTCCGACAACCTCCTACTCCAGTGAAGCCAGAGACTGAAAACATCGAAGAGGACCTCGAATTGCCATCTGATGGACAACTGCGCCTGTCTACGAGGAAGCCACCCCCTTCAACTCCTCAACAGAGTGATGATTTCGACCTCGAATGGGCGGAGGGCAGCTTGGGGACAAGGAACGCTGGCACCAGAAGGGGAGGCCGATCTGCGCGTAGCTCGTCTGCCTCAGCTCTGAGTCCTAGTGTCTCGAGTGCTTTCACTGCCGAGAGCGAAGATGAAGGGCTCGAAGGACTCATCCTGCCCGATGGACCAATCCAGTTTGAGGACAAGCTCAAGCGGCGCCAGCACGAGCATCCATCCGAACCACCTCGAAGCGTTCCAGACCACAAAGAAGCTTCCAGGATGTCGACAGGAAAGGACGATTTCTTTTCGGGTCTTGAGATTGGAGATGGAGAGGTTTTTGACGCGGCAAAGTTGACGCTGAATCGCAATGTTAAGCACAAGAGCACCCGACCTGCTAGTCCGTCAAAGCGGACAACAACGACGCTCAATTTCACGAGTACCAAAACTCAAGGAACAATCTCGCGGCTCCCCAGATTTCAACCAGCTCACGATAGGCTTGAGCGTGCTCGGTCCAATTTGGAACCTGTCTCGGAAACCGGCGTAGCGATTTCGTCGTATCAACGAGCAAACTCACGACTTGGGAATCACGCAAGTCATTCATCTGTCTCAGCCATCCCGGCCCCTCAGCCCCCTTCTACTCCCTCAACCCCAAGTCGACGGCTGCTACGTGGTACCGAATCTCGTCCCGACCTGCGCTACGAACCGCCCACAACCACGAATGCCCAGCTCCTGCGGGCAAAGAGGTCTATGCCCGTCATGCGTGGCCTACCCTCGCCTACCAAACCCTCCCCGTACGTCAGACCTCCTTCGAGACAGGAGACCGGAAGCCGTCTGAATATAGCGCCACGTCCCAAGACTCCCACAGATCGGGCAGATTCTCGCATCGGGGAAGCTAGGAAAGCCGCAGTACCCTTCCTCCCCGCAGGTGCGTCTGCTGGACAGTCTCAGCATGTCAGCATCAAGAGTCATTACCGTGGACAAGGTTCCGATGGTTCTGGTGACAGTATGTCTGCTGCTCAACGGTCTTTGTCTCGACTAGCCGGACTGGGCAGGCCGGAGACGCCTGGCCGTGGTGTCGACTCTGCGCGTGGGCGAAGCAATCTCACGCCAGCTGAATTGGCGGCCCAGGCAAAGAAATCTATTACGAAACCTACAAGGCGGCGTAATTTTGGTGACGGGACAGAGCTGGAGATCTTTGACGACCTACCTACTTCGGCTACCCTTGAATCAAAATTCACAAAAGCGCCAGTGGGCCGTGGTGCACCACGCAGCCTTCGAAGCAAACTGGGACTGTCGCATCTAAATCCTTCTACGTCTTCCCTCGCCAGCACCAGACGCGGCAGCGATACCCCTGTTCCCGCAACACCACTCTCACCGGCACCGAGGGGCGATTTCCCGACTACAGCCCTCAACACGACCAATGTTCCTCGCTTTGCCCGCGACACAGCCGCCTCCCGGAATGCTCGGGAACAGCGCCAAATCTCAAGTGCTTTCCAGAACATGCGAGGTGAACCACTCCAGCCGATCTCGACGAATTGGAAGTCAAACCCATCGACCATCCGTCCTAGCAACCAAGGAAGTCTGAGAAAAAAGAGAAGCGAAAAGGTTCAGCTGAAGCCACATCTCATCAAACCCATGGGCGGTGATTTGAACCGACCAAAGACGGAGAAAGGCATGAACTACAATCCGCTATTGTTCAGGTGGGAGGGCAATGAAAACGATCTGGCGCCGTTCGACGTACCAGACTTCTACCCTCGGGGCGGCAGCCCTGGTATTCAAGGCCGAGGAAGCCCAGGTACGAAAGCACAGGTGGCGTTGATTTCCAACGTGGGGTCTAGCGTCACTGGCGTTCAAGTTGTAGGGGGCATGGTGTTTGACCCGTCGCAAATGCGATGGCTCAAGATCGCTGAGAATCCAGACGGAAGCGTATCGAGCGTTCGAGGTGGTAGTGTCCAGATTGAGGAGGAAGAGGACGTCTTTGCCGGACTAGAGGACCTGAAAGAAGAAGACGAAACACGGAGCCGCAGCGGCACGCTCCAAAACATATCAAATATCGACCAATCGAGGGATTCTTTTGGTGATGCAGAGGCCGGCCATAGCAGTGGTGATGAATGGGGAATTGGTGTTAGTGAAGAGTTTGACGTGGGGCCCGAGTTCGTGAGGAGACAGAGGGGTGAAGAGGAGAGGTGGCGGCGGAAAGTGGAAAAGTGGTTGCGAAAGGGCCTAGAAGCAGAAGAGGAAGAAGGACCCGATGGGAGAGGGGGATGGAGGTGGGCTATTCGTGAACTGGTGATGGAGCAAGGTGAAGCTTAGGGGAGGGCACTGGACGGGGCAATATGCTGCGAACAGTTGTACAGCACGGAGTATATGGAAGAAGTACTAACGATACGTGGTGAGCAAGGCTCCTGTGGCTTTTTGAACGGGCTCGCAAGAGTCAGTGAAAAGTATACCTCGTACCTCTGATCACCAGCTGTGTTTGTCAGTGGTATGTTAGTCGGTGACCTTGGGCCTACACAGTACCGAGTAGATGCACGGTGAGCCCAATGCGCCCAAATTGATGATCCCCGAAGTGGATAAATAGTGCTGTGTTGTGCGGAGACTTCCCCAAGCGGGCCGAATGCCTTCTGTATTAGATCTCATCCAACATCTCAATATCTTGGGCACTGACAATCTCGTACGGTAAGTCCAGGTATTTCTCCAGACCTCTTTTCATTTGTACTGTTTCTTCTGAGTAGAGCAGAATCATCCGATTGTTGACCTGTTCCTCGAAGACGAACCGTAGACACTGGAGCCCATCGACCTGAGATCTCTACCCAGTAACATGAATCATAGGCTCGCGATCTCAACAATCTCCCTGGGCCGGCACGCCTCGCACACTCTGGAGAGGAAACTCGCCGCCCGCTGCCGCCGGCGGGTTCCAGGGGGTAGAGATGTTCATCACCGATTTAGACGGCTACGCCACCGCCCGCGGAATCACGAAGGTCCAAGCGGCCGGGGAGATGAAGCGTCTCTGCGCCCAGCACAACCTGGAGATTGTCTGCCTGGGCTCGTTTGACAACTTCGAGGGCCATCCCAGACGAAGTCTGGAGGAGAGGCTGCGGATCGCGCGGGAATGGATCGCCATGGCTGACGGCTTGGGCACGGACGTCATTCAGGTGCCCAGCAACGACGACAAGGACGCGGTCGGCGACATAGACACCATCGTGGCCAACCTGCAAGCGCTGGCGGATCTCGGGCTACGGCAAGAGTCCCCCGACACCGCTCGCCCTCTGTCAAGTTCGCCTACGAGGCTCTCGGGTGGGCCACGCACGTTGCTGACTGGGAGGAATCGCTGAGGGTCGTCGAGCATGTCGCGCGCCCCAACTACGGCCTCTGTCTGGACACATACCTCGTTCTGGCGCGTCTGTGGTCAGACCCGCGGTCACCGTCTGGCAGACGGCCCGGCGGTGATGCCGCGCTGCACATGTCGCTCGAGACCTTCCGTGCAAGAATTCCCGACTCCGCCACCGCGGCATCCTCTACAACGCAGGCGCCCATCGTCTACGTCCAGCTCAGTGACGCCGAGAGACTTGCGCCGCCGATCCTGCCGGGCCATGCCACCTACAGCGAGCACCAGGACGGCGTGCACTCGTGGTGCCGCTACGGCCGCTTGTTCCCGCTCGAGCGCGCCCGCAGCGCGTACCTGCCCGTCCTGGACGTCGCGAGGACGTGGTCGAAGGACAGCGGCTGGACGGGCGGGTGGCTGAGCATAGATGTCTTCCACCGCGACATGGAGCGCGAAGGGAGTGGCCCGGAACACTGGGCTGAGAGGGGGACGAGGAGCTGGGAGGAGCTTGTCAAGAGACTTGGCGAGGAATAAATGGTGAGGACAAGAGAACAGGAATAAATAAACAGAGACGAGCGGGCAAGGAAGATGAGGTATTATATTAAACCGAACTAAAAATCTAGGTCCGCTAAGTTCACATTCAACTCAAAGTCATTGAAGAGTACGGCGTGCAGGCAAACTCACCACCAGGCTGTAGCCTCCTTTTTGTCATCGGCCTCCAAAACCCCCTTTTCTCACGCTTATCCCCTTCCGCTCTCCCCCTCTCTGCATCAAGAAGAATCAGGTGCAATTCTATGTAAAACGATCGAAGTCAAACCCGTAGCGAATGCATTTTTGTACAAAATCCACCACTCCGACCAGATCGTATGCCTCCTTCTTGCGTCGTTCATATCATTTTCCTCGGGCGTAACCATCTCTGGTTTTCCCGGCAGAGCAGCTGTGGTGAAGCACGGACAGGATGCTCTTTTTTCTTTTTTCTTTTTTTTTTTTTTTTCTTTTCTAGTATAACGCGCCCGGGCTAACAGCGCCGTTTCCAAAGGAAAGCTCGACGGCGTACATGGCCCGTACTCGCGGGGTGCCGTCACCTGCAAACCAGCCCATGTTCACATCACCGTGAAAAACTGCTAGTTTGCCGTCCTTGGTGATGTCAATGCCTCCAGGGATGTAAACGCTAGCGGGTGTGCCTCCAGTGGCTAGGAAAGGATTTGCCTGCTTGGTGTAAGGACCGTAGACACTTTTGCTGGTTGCGTATCTGATGTTGTATGGGGCAGTTGTGAAGCATTTGGAGCTGTACAGGAGAATATAAGTCCCGGAAGAAGCATCATAGGTCAATGAAGGCGCTTCAATATTGGGCCCATCATCTGGGTCATTAAGTAAAACAGTGGTTGTGCCACCAATGAAAGAATACCCATCGTCAGGATTGACCTCTTGGAGATTGAGAGGCGTGGGTGCAATAGGGTTGACAGAATTTGAACATGCGCCACCGTTGCCGATCGAGTTGCCGTCGACCTTGTAGATAACATACTGCCGGTGGGTTGCAGGGTCGTTGAAGCCGTCGGCATCGATGGCCCCGCCAGCTGTCAGATCACAGAACAGGGGCGTCTGGACGGGAGTGAAGGGTCCCTCTGGATTTGGAGCTGTTGCTGCTGCAACACAGTGCTTCGCTGGAGACTCGGCCATGGTTACGGAGTAGTATAGCACGAAGTTGCCATTGTCCTGTGATATTTCGTCAGAAAATTCTGGCTACCAAGCAGGTGTTCGAATACTCACTAACTGAGTCACGTCTGGAGCCCATACGTGCGGAGGCGAGGCTGCCCACGAAGGGAGATTCGGCAAGGCATCGTAGCCTGAATGAACGGTCCAGCTAGAAAAATCTGGAGAAGTTGCGATCAAGACATTAATCCCCGCAGGATTTCCATTGACTCCCGCATAGGCAATATAGCTCCCGTCCCCCAATTGGACCACCGAAGGATCTTGAAAATTTGTACCAATGACTGGACCGCTTGCCTGACGCTTATGCTGTGGAGCGGCTAAAGACCAGGCCAGGCAAGCAAAGAAAATGAACGACGAGAGTAACATTATGAGCAAAACCCAGCAACGACGACGGACAACAGCAAGAAAGGCCTGAGGAGCAGAGAAGTCGGACTCTTGGAGCCATTTGTTCTTTTTGGGGCCGGACAACAGTGAGCTGCGCTCAGCAGGGCTGGGATCGGTCATGTTTCTCGGCTCATTGGGCGGATGCTGTTTTGTTACCCTGACTAGGTTGTAGGAGATGCATGCTGCAGGTAAGTGGCGCGCTTTATCAAGTCAGCTTCTGGAATGTGCGCCATTCAGAATGCAAAGCATGCCATCGAAGCTATGTCGGACTGGAGCCATGGCGCATGCGAAGGCGAATCTGTCGCCATACACAGCAGAAGGTTTGAAACAAACATAGGACAGCGCGCCAAAACAAGCTCACAGACAAGAGCAACTAGCATATGAATGCTGCATGCCATGGCCACAACAATGGAGGGAGCAAGTGCCAATCCAATCAATCACATGTGGATGGAGAGCGCGGATGGATGGTCCGGGGCCAGGCCTGCGGACGGAGGGGGTGAGGATCGACGAAAGGAGATAGATGCACATCAACGGCCGTGTGTACATAGGTAGGATCATCGATGTCGTCCTCTTTGTGGCTAGCTGTGTCTGTATGTAGCTTGCTCTCGCAGGATGACATGTGGTTGAAAAAAAAAAGACTGCTGATATGAAGTACAGGGAAGACACAGGTGGCTGAAGGGGGGCTAAGGAGGCCTTGGAAAGAGGGGCAACTGACGGTGGTGATGGAGGTGCGGGAGTCGGCGCCTTGTCACTGACTCGGTATTGTATTCTCTTAATAGTTGCCCTCGATTTACCGCGCTGGTTATTGGCCACTGGCACCAGCACCAGCACCACCTCGCCGCCTCAAAGATCTCTCGCTTCTTCTTGATGGGTCCTCCTTGGGTCCTCCTCGTATCTTACTAGACAAGTGATCTCGCCCGCTGCAGCTGCGGCTCATGGACTGCCTGGTTCTGATGTGAGCTGAACAGCTGAGCCGCCGAGCCACACACATTCACTGGAATCCGATTACCTGCATACAAAGTCTGGTCTTTTCTTACATCCTCCCGCTCTTGAGCGATCACAGCATCTAACATGGGTGACTAGGGCAGCGGGCTGATCTCCGCACTCCTCGTATCCCGCATCTCTTACCCTTGCTACGAATCAGCTCCGAAGCCAATCTTAGCTGCCAGTTGCATTGCGACCTTTCCAACGGACTCTGCTATTGCGGACTTTCTGTATCCAATTGCTGCCCTCTGATAAAACTCAAATGTGATCCACCTAATCGACGCGTCGCAGCAGTTCATGGCCCTCGTGGCATGCGGCCGAATCCTCAGCACGCACAATGGGTGGGACTGGGGAAAATTTGGACAAAATTGGACAGGTGAATAACGTGATTAGCATGTCAGCACCTCTCTAACGCGAGATGGACATGTCATGTATGGTGCGCCGGATGACTGCCCAGACATTCCAATCATGTCGCCATATTTCTGAACAATGTTGAGATGTGATCGTTCCCGGGAACGTGGGACAAGCTTCTGAGCCGGAGAATTACAACTGCTTCTCGAAGCAGTCGTTCTCAGCCTTGCAGGTTAAACATGCACCAGTGTGATTCTATTTGTCGATGGAGAACCATCAAACACGGGAGCCAAGGGTCGCTTGTGTGACGTGCTTTGATCGCAAGATGATGCCAGCAGGAACTCAGAACTCAGTGCGGCCCGTCGAGTATCACACATAATGTGCGTCGTCTTCAGACACAACTGGTACCGCCATTCTGCAAAAGATTGACTCGTGCGCGACATCCAAATCCACAGTCCTGTCAACGTGGCGCTGAATTGTAAGTACATCTCCCCCTTGCTTCACGAGGTTAAGAAATCACCACTTGCGTGAATTTCGGGTGACATGGACGCCATGTCCATAAGCTGGATCTCCATAGGGGAGGCGTTTCGAGCTTCGATCTGGTCCCTTGCATACCGATGGGGATCACGAACTAAGTCTTTAGCACCAGAAATACGGGCCATAAGCCTTGTGTTTATCCGGAACATTTGGAAAAGCTAATCCAATTGACGCTTTCGCGCTGGACGCCCGCGGTCGTGGTCTCGGTGCTTCAAACCTAACAAACCGAAATGCCTATACGCCTCCTTCTTACCAATCACCACCGAGCTCCAAGCAGTCAGTCCAACACCAACTAGGTCTCATTCTTGTATCAATGGACCATTACTCTCCCAAGAGTCCTCCAAATGGTCATGCCTGATGTTCAGATAAAGGATCAGAATGCTCAGAGACTCGATTAGGCCCCAGCTCACAACAGCCAATGCTCTAGTTGCACCCAGCAGTAAGTGTTATTGTAGATTACCTTCAATTTTGAGCCTACATGCTGGAGCTGCTAGCATAATGGGAGCGCGGTATTTTGTTTTCTTTTTTTTGACTCTCTACCAGCCTCCACCAGATCTGACTCTCCGTTACCTCGGGTGGCCGCGACTTGGTCCGCAGAATGAACTGCGGGCTCTCCAATCGCAAAGGTACGTGTTAACACGCATTCACACGATAGCGAAACAGGGCGGGGACGCCCATAGGCAACTGATCTTGGCGACCTTCGTGTGCAACCCTGACCGGCATCAAAGCTTTTGCTTGTCCCGCTCTGCATCCAAACACGTGGGGGCTTTCAATGGCTGTTGTCCTTCCTTGGTCCTCCCCGTGGCTTGGCACTCCTCCCGTTGTCTTGGCATCGATTCCGCCTGCCCAAAGCAGGTTGATATCAATGCAAGCTACGCTATGCCATGCGGCCAGCGCGAAGCTTAGGGTTACCACGAGGCAGAGGCGGTAGACTGCAATGGGTTCTCATAGATCCTTCGGTCCATACGGCATACGCAAAGAGCTCGTGGTTTGTGGATGGCGGGATGAGCTGCCAGCTCTGAAAAGGTACAAAAGCTGTGAGGTCCTGCAGCTGGTTCAGAATTTTTGATCTTTCTCAGGGAAGCTCCTCAAATATCCACCCCGGGATACCTTAGAGATACCGAAGATGAGAATCCAGCTTGGTCTAGAGGCCGTCTTGGCAATTGGCGCCTTCTGTGCCCACTGTGCTGCTCAATCCTTCCAGAGGCTCGGAACCTGTCCGACTTTGGGCTGCATTATTCCACCCGACCAAGCCGATTTCCTCCCGGGCCAACGTTTTGATATCAGGGCCGAAGTGCACGCTCCTTTGAACGGAAGTGAAGCGATTAAGGGCTACACCACTCCCGATCCCAGTGTGAGTTTCTGTTACCTTCTTGGGTTTATTGTAAGGCTCTGTCATTCTCAGCTCCAGCTAACAGGGATTGCCAGTTCACTCTGAGCATCGAGCGTGAGGGCGGGAATGCTCAACCGGTCTCAGCCTTTTTCAATCTTCCGGAACCAAAACTCGAGACTTGGAATTTTACTTGGTATGAGGATCTGTTTGCTCAAGCCGCCAAGACTCCATC